ATACGCCAGCAAAGCTGTGGAGACCATTTATCCCATATCCTGTTCCATATATAACCCTATCCTACGATATGATTTATTGCAGAAATTAAACTTGAAAACATGTAAGGAAATTATGTTCGGTCGTGACCGATTCTTTTACACCTATCACCGTGATACTAAACAGAAGGAAAATAACTAAGTTTTCACACTATGCAATATTGGGTGGGCGCAGTTAATTTTTCCTATTTTTAGAATAAAAGTTAACATTTATATGGCTTAGATTGGTAAATTTACATAGAGTAACTAGCAAAAAACGCGGAAAAGAAAGGTGTTAAACGTGTCGGCGTGTTTGTAAGCGATATTTTAATTTTTGTGAACGGGAGAATGTCTATCACAGATGCTACACAATTACGGAGACGGACAGTTGGACATGGTTAGATTCATTCCAAATTGAAAATTGGCCAACATTTTGTATGCATTATTGGGTTTCGAAGTTTGTTTGTGAACGTTATAAAAGTATTGAAAGGTATACTGGTACTACAACATCCCCCATAGAATATACTGTTATGGAATTCGCTTTTTACTAGGATACAGTCCGTATCACTGGATCGCGGATATTTTATTCAAGAGAAATACACTTCAAAGTTCTTTTATTTTACTACGTTGTCGTTCACACAGTAGGACTATTTATTTACAATTATATTTTTTACATGTAGAATTATTTACAATTTATTTTGGCCGTACTCTCAGCTCAAATGTTCTTGCCGGACTAATTCTCCCTTCCCCAAATATTTTATTTACAAGCCTGTTACTATACCTAAATTTATGGTTTTATTTCTAATCCCAGGCTGCTTTTCTCTAATCGTTTTTATCGGCCTGCCGCTGCATGACGAGCCTGCGAATGTGCACTTAGCTTTTACCTGTTTGCTTTTCCGCTAATCGTTTTCATCGACCTGCAGCTGCATGAGGTGTCTGCGAATGCTCATTTGGTTTTTACTTCTTTAGAAAATTTATTATTAGGGAAAATTACTTAGCTGAAATTAAGTGCATTTGGGATTTTCGTAACAATACGTTAAAATTTTTGTGAATTTATCTTCTACGAGCGGAAACTCAATTTTTTGTTCCTTCTGAAAAACAGAAGTGTCCTCACTTTACGCAGTGTTGTAAGTGTGTCCTTGCTGAAATCGAATCAGAATTTGATACTGATCAAGAGTATATATACTTTGTAGGCGATGCAAATGTTTTTATCAAGTGAATATACCTTTCATCCTTAGATGATGGTTATAAAAATGACTCTATTTTATATTGAATTCAAATCTTGCGCAAATTTTGGGGCATTCCTCATGTCAACGAAAGTTTGTATTCCAATCCGAAAGATATAATAATGGACGTCGAATGTGTGAGTGGATAAATAGACAATCATTTTAAATTTGTGATAGAATGACTTGCTAATCAAGTACTTTACCTTCGTGATCAGTAATTGTGAGTTCAGGTATGTATGCAGCATAGAGAACAAGTTAAGATAGGTCAACTCTTTATTATACATCCAGAATTATTTTCTGAATCGATTTGAACTTATCTTTCTATTTGCTCGTCTGTCTGTCTGTCTGTCTGTGCGTCTATTCGTCTATCCTATTCGTTTGATGTCATATCCACATTTTGTTGTGTGGAAATTCGTTGCACTAACATGCTTTTTAACTCAAAAAGGAACACTATTGAAAATGGATTGGTTCGGACAATTTCTACGATTATTACCCATAAAGTTACTCATTATACGCAATTATAGGTTTTAAAAAAGCCGAAAGCCTTAGATGCTAGTGCTTTAAGACATTAGTCTTAGAATTTATTCTCTGGATAAATTTATAATAACAATAATAATAATAATAGGTTTTATAATCTTACGAAAAGATATTGATAGGAAATGGTATTTTGACGTCCTAAACGGATGCGCAGAATTTGGATGGATCGGATGGTAACATTTTTTAAAGCACCTTCCATAAAACCGGTCCTATTAGCAGTGAGCTTTTATCGGGCAAAAAATTTTAATATATACAGTTCGCGTAACAATTTTACATCGAAAATAAATGCAACAAATTTGCACGACACACGTGTATTTTTCGGGCAGTTCTTCTTATAAGGATTCTCATGAAGTACAAACCTTTGTATGGCAATAAAATCAGATTTTTAGTGTTTTAGAATGATAATAGGTAAACAATGATGAGATCTTTGAAGATTAATTCAGATCAGTCGACATTTTGCATCTTGACCCCTATAACGGGTTATGAGTAAAGCATGCATATATAAGAGAGTAATGTATAATATTCTGGAATTTCATAAATTGAGATAAAAGATTTGCTTTAGATGTATAGCAGCTAATGGTCGGCCTTGTCCAACTATGATATTCTTATTTGTTTCTTGTTGTTGTTTGCATTGCGACCCATAAGAAATATTACTTACTTATTTTAACTGAAAGCTCAATCTTTGTCATACCTCAACGAAGAATTAAAAAAACATTAGTTATGTACTATAAGCTTTTAAAGCGAGAGCATATTCAATAAATTTGAAAAATTAACTTAAAAATTAAAGTCGTTTTTATATTGAGAATATATTAATTACTGGGAAAAATTTCATATTTAAAAGCTATTACGTGTTGTTTATTGTCTTGAGGAAGAACCAGCCCACATGTACCGTATTCTTTTAATTTGTTTTGTGTGAGAGGCAATTGTTTAAAACATTTTACATAAATGTTTTTCTTTATTCTGTTGTTGTCTATTATTCATGTCGTCCTTTTTGTTTTCATTTCTGTTAACTACAATGGGAGAAACTATAACAAAAAGCAACAAAACTTTATGGGATTATGAAAGTTGGGGTTCAGTTTAGTTCAATTCAATGTAGTTTCGTATCAATTGTTGCTGTTGCAAGTGCTAGTTAAGCTATAGCTTAAATACAGCAGAAAGTTGTTTCGGTTTGTTACTGAATTTGTCTGAAACAGACCATAACATTTTATTCAAGACCACATTACCCGATTGTTATATTATTGTTCTTCAGTATGGAACAAAAACAACGTATCGTTAACGTTTTTATCTGTAAGCTGAGATGGATCTCTATATATATTTATGTATATGTATATAGATATATATATATTCACAAGTGCATTTGTGTGTGAAAACGCATAACATGGCGTGCTAAAAGTTCAAAACCATTGCCAACTAACTAAAACACAAAAATCCTGTTTTACTTTGGTTTATGTATGCGATAGTTTTGTGTTTTGTGAGGTGATGTTATACATTTGAAAGTCAAAAAAGCGACCAAATGTATCTGTATGTGCGTGTATGTATGTACGTGCATATACGCGCGCACGCGCGCGCGTGTGTGTGTGTGTGTGTATGTATGTTCGTGTTTTTTTTTTTTTTTGCTCTGCGAGCTGGAGTTAGAAAATCTTCAGAGATACTGCCGGATCTTAATAGCAGCATACACGATTCGCCATCCATGGCGCATATGTACTAAAAACTACCCCCCACACTTCGTCTACCACTCTACCCCGCGGTATCACCGTTAAGTATTAGTTCGCGGAGCCTGGTTGTCGCTAGCACGCTTCTGATGGTGGGACCTCAAGGGAATACACTATCGGCTTCCACTCCCTCTGCTCTCCACCCGTTGCTTCTCCAATCGCCGTAACTCCACGATAGTATTGCTAGCGAACGCGTCTATGGTGTTCCAGGCTGCTGCACTGCCGATTATTACGGTCGTGACCTCGTTAGTTGGCATTTGTGGCCTCCCGTTCTCAAATCTATAGCAGTAGAACATTACGTGCTCTGCACCTTCCTCCGTATCTGCGCATATCGGGCAGTTAGGCGAGCTATCGTGCTCGAATCTATGTAGATACTTCCGAAAACAGACATGGCCAGTCAGAAGCTGGGTTAGCTAATAGTTTACTTCACCGTGGCGTCTTTCAACCCATCGTCTTATGCTAAGGATAAGAACGAACGTCCATCTTCCTTTGGTCGTTCTTTCCCACCTCGACTGCCTTAACGAGGCTCGTTGCCGCGACGCCGTTCCTAGATGCGGCTCATCTCGTCGGCCAGAATGTCGACTGGCAGAGTGTCAGCTAGCACTAGCGCTGCTTCTTCCGACACGGTACGGAATGCGCAAATCTGCCTCAGGGCGCTAAGGCGATATATTGCCGCCACCTTACGGTACACTGCCCTCACTTTGAGTGCATCGGCCCAAACTGGCTTCCGTACATTATGACTGAGGTCACCAACGTGGCTATAACCATCCTCCTAGCTGCTTTCAGCCCCCGCACATTCGGCATAATCCTTATCAATGCCCTCTGAATGCCTGCCGCTCTCTTCGCCACGTAGTCAATGTGACGGCTGAAGTTGAGGCGCTGATCAATTATCACTCCCAGGTATTTGAGCGCGGGGACTGAAAGCACAATGTGGTCCCCGATTCTTATCTCGCACGTCTCTGGATTCTTCCGGCTACTCACAAGCACGACTTCCGTTCTGTCTTCAGCCAGCTCTAGGTCCACCTTATTTAGCCATCCTTGGATGCTCATGATTGCCTCGGTAACTTTCGCTTCTACATCGGCAATGTGCTTTGCGACCACCACTATCGGCCTCTAGCATTGGTGATTCTACTGCCCCATTCCACCGCCCAGGCGTTAAAGTCTCCGCGTTTGTCACCAATGGTTTGCTGCGGGCATCCGCCACCAGATCATCCAACATGTTCAGGAACTCTCCCTGCGTCCAGCTTGGGGGCTTATTGCAACTGTAGAAATATGTGTCCCGAACTCTCGCCCTCACGTAGCCGTTGTGCTGGGCACTTTCATCCAGAAGTACAGATTCCGGTGACCAGATTGCTGCTTTTACTGCTACATCGGCAATCCATCCACCAAGGCTCATGCTTCTGAATGGCTCGCTGATCAACACCAGGTCTACCTTCTCCTCTTTGATAGTCTGTCTGAGCAGATCATGAACTGTCTCGCCGTGATTGATTATTGATAATTTGCATTATTCTCATTTGCGTCCTCTAGCAGCTAAAACGCGTTTGAATAACGGGTACTTACTGCTCCCCGCTACATGTTTACCATCCGCGTTTGGTATGCCTTTACAGGAAAAGCACAGGCGATCGTTGGAGCATACTTTTGCCATGTGCCCTTCTTCTCCGCATCGTCGGCAGACCTTTGATCGGTCGCAAGTCCCTTCACATTGTTTGGAAATGTGCCCGTATTTCAAGCAGCGATAACACTTCACCGGTGTTCTGTGTTCTCTTAGTCGGCACACCATCCAGCCTACCCGTAGTTTGCCACCAGCAAGCAGCTTGTTGGCGTCCTCTCGCGGCAGGCTGATTATTGCCATCTGGGTGCTGTCGTAGGCCTTCCTCAGGCTGACTACCTCTGCGTTTGTCAGCACATACTGGCACTTTATGGCTTCGCAAATATCCTCCCTTGAGGTGATTTCATCGATATCCCTGCGCTCGACTGAACCGCGTTGTTTCAGGCTTCTAACTGCCGCCTGGTCACCTAATAGGAAGCTCACTGCATTCTTCAGCTCATCCGTTTTTTCTCCGTTTTTGTCCAATCGCAGCAGTAGGTCGCCTTTTTGCGTTCTCCTGATTTTGTGGACTACTTCGCTTAGTTGCTTCAGTTTCGGCTCACCTTTAACCTTACGCAGCATGTCAGCGTAGTGGAGCTTGCCGATCGCAGCTATAACAATGGCGTCCAGTTTGCCTCTACGGGCTTGCAATGCGAGATCTTTTTTCTTCCTGGCCGTCACTTGTTGCCAGTCCTCGCCATTAACCCGCGTACTTTGATCGGTGGGATTCTGTGAGGCCCCCTTGGACGCACTGGCCACGTTCCGACGCTTCGCAGTTGGTGCGTCTATATTACCGGGCTGTCTTCTCTTTGCGGCGCTTATCTTCAGGTCGGGTTCCAAAGCATCTTTCTTGCTCACGCCTCTCAGATTAGGAGGAGGGGTCGTTTGAGCGGCTTTATCGACCTCATCAACCTTGCCACTTGGTTCGGCCCTCGTCTAGTCCCTTAGCAACGCGCACTGCTCATAGGCCATTCAGATGCTTTCAATGGCATCTTTCATGGCTTAGTGAATGGACCGCCTTTTGCCGTCCTCCAACATTCCCACCAGTGCCTCTAAGTGATGACCCAGCCATGCGAAGGGTGCCGTATCCCCCGCGTCTGTCGTAGGCACTTTCCCTACTTTGGTAGGCGACTGTGGCTGGGCTTGGCCGCCAACCGGCGATCGTAGCATTCTACTACTCGCCCTAAACGGGTTCTCGTCGCTCAGATCACAGCCGTGAACTCCACTGTCTGCTTGTTTTGTCGAACCGGCAGACGCGCGCGTGTGTGTGTGTGCGTGAGGTTTGACTAATTATAGTAACCTTAACGCATAAAGCAAACGCGTTAACTTTGCTCTAGTGGATAATGGCGCTCAATATAATGCCTTCTTATAGATTAATGTTACATTATCTGACGACAAAATGCAAACGCGAGTTTGTCAAAATAATATAAGAATGATGACTTACTATCTTGCAAAGCTTATTTATGCTATTCAGAAAAATGGACTTCTTGACACTTCATTCAGTAATTTACGCACTTAAGCACCGTGTCGAACGGTTGTCGTCGATCAACTGTAGAAATGTACTTGCAAATACCGATCAATGCATTTTGGATGGACTACATCTCGTGATAAGATTTCACTCTAACAGGCAAATCATTTTTCCGAATGCGAAGTAATCATACGATAATAAATTGGGAAAATGTAGCGATTTTTTAAATCCGATTTTTGCATAAGAAGATGAATAAGACACACATTTTAGTGCATACCTATTGGATTCACGGGCGGTGTTGATGGCATCTTCGATTATCCTGCATTTCGATTATCCAGTATGTTGCAGATTACGGAATACGCGACCATTCGTCTTATTAATTGCAGCGAGGTTCGGTAAAGTGTTATTGTTTTGACTGATGCAATAACACTGCCGCCTGCAGCCTGTTACTACTTGTTTTTTTTATGTTGCATTCCTATACAGAACATCATAGTGGAGCGTATAATTTCCTACTGCAGGTAGACATGATCTAATCGTGCTACTATGGAAAAAGTTGCGTTTCCTTTGAGAAATTGCGCATGTATATGTTTTTAATGTTGAACAATAATGAGGTAACGATATATGCTGATTACATCTCTTCTCTGAATTTGGTAAAATACACTAAAAGTAAAAGTCTTAGACATATTCTGGACTTCTTTTATGCTTTCGGACTACGCTTGATATGTTACGAGATCATCTTAAGCTTCGGCTTTTTCGCCTCAGAGTCGATACGCTTAGACGTTAATGCTTTACGACTTCTGCCTCAGAATCTATTCTCAGTAATAATAATAATAGGCTACGGCCCATTTTTGTAATTTAATGTACTAGTTGGACTTGCGTTACCCCGCTGTCGTTTTGCCTCTCCTTTCTCGCTTTATCTGTACTGGTATTTTACTTTTAAGTGAATTTACTGTATAATTTTATAAGCTTCGAATTTTGCCATTACATGTGTACATAACAACAAACGCAACAACAACAATGATAACAAGAATAAACTTTAAAATTTGTAAATTAAATATTAAGTAGAACCGCCTGAGTAGCCGAAGGCGAGGAATCTCGACTAGCAAGTCAATGGTCGTGGGTTCGAATCACAAGTGCGGTAGACTTTTTAATAAAAGCTGATAACCCTAGATGCTAGTGCTTTTAAGACAGGCTAGTGCTTTTTAGTCTTAGAACTTATTTCTCTGACGAAATTAATAATAATAATAATAATAATAAATATTAAGAAACACAGTTTTTGAAAATTGAAGTAAACGAATGTAACGTAATTGTTGACAATTAGAAATCCAAATAAAAGCAAGACGACGATGGTAAGGAAAGAATAATAAAAATGAAACGTAAAAATGTAAGTGGAAACGGTTTAATCATCAGAAAAATGACAACGTCGATGATGACAACTGAAATATTGGCGTTTCTTAGGTTACTGACAACTCATGACGGTGTGAAACGTTCGACGTTAATTGGCAAACTATTGTAGTACAGCATATCGGTTTGATCTAGCAGTGGCACATTACAACGATATTGTCATCGATGCTCGGCCGCTAAACAAATTTTATATAATAAGATATCGCTATACTATATATTACATCCATCAACGCCGGTGATCTATATACGGCAGCGCATGACAATGATGTTACGGATGATGCATTTCTATATACGTTGGCATGAACAACATTTCCGTTGCTTTTTAAATAGCAGCAAAATTCTCGTTTATAATAATAATAAATTTTTTGTCAACAAGATGGTTTGAGATCTCTCGTAGATATTATTAAACTTCTTTGAAAATGGGGTGAAAAATGAAAATAAAAATAGAAATGATAAATTGGAGTCATAAACTTCTCAGCATCTTATTTTGTGTGCAATTTTATATTAAAAGTCATTTAATTGCCGGTAAACACTTAAATAGCAGCAACTCTAAGCTAATTAAAGAAAATTGAACGACACTTATTGAAAAATGTCAAAAAGTCTCTTGAGTCGTGATTTGCTCTCGATATTTAATTCTCTTTTATATTCGTTGCACAATGCATGCATTGAAATGCAATTTTCGTTTTATATCGCCGTCACTCATAAGATAACAAAGCCGCTCCATTCAGCCTCATTTCGTCTTAATATTCTTACACATAATACTTATAAATATATATTTAAATATTTATGTCATATATAAGTGTGCGGATGGGGAAATTTTACTTTGATTATATTAAATGCAATTCGATTTGATTTAAAATTGCGGTATAACGGCTGCTAATTACGTATATAATTTACAATCTGTCTGTCCAAAATGACAATAAGTAAATATTGTTAGTCATTATGCACAGAAAATTTTTCTTTTTTTGTTTGGAAAGCAAAAAAACCGAGATGTTGAAACGGTTAGGAACAGGATTTTCAATCAATTCGTATGGCACACATTTTCCATCCTTTAGGTCGTTCGCATCCGCGTGTGAACGTCTAGAAACAGTTGATTCATCAACTGCTAAGCTGTTCGAAAGTTTTTGGAGAGATTAAGCTAATATTTCGTCGTATACACCCAAAACCGACAATTAGAATTTGATGGAGCAGCATCACTATAACCTTCTAAAAGTGTTTGATGGGCTTCGGCAGCAGGTTTCTTCCAACCAAACAACAATGAATGTCGAAAATGAAATTTTAAATGTTTCGTAGCTATCGTCTAAAATGGAAAATTGTTATTTTCGGTAGAGAAAGGTCAAATCGTCGAATTTAATCGTTTTGTACATTGATACTTCGCATTTCTTTATCATTTTCACTAGTAGATATCGCTGATCAAAATACATGCAAATACCTATTATATGGAGAAGAGGGAAATAACACAGATTACTGTCTACCAATACGAACCATACAGCAATATAGATACGATGTCCGATCTTCAATTTTATATGCATATCCAACTGTCATATACACAGTTCTGTTTTGCGAAGGAGTTAAAAAGAAATGTTTAAAAAGGAAGAAAAAAATCGCTTGTGAAAGAATAAAACCTGCCGCTATGTTATCTCAAATTTTAAGACAAATTGAGAATGTATACAGTTCCCAAAGTGTTCGTTGAACTGTAAAAGGCTTACAAATTGCATTCGTATATTATTATTATTTTAGCTTAGCTTATATATGATCTTGTCACTCTTTTCGCTCTTCGCGCGCTTCTCTCTTTTTTCAATTTCAAAGAACTAGCTGGACAAAGAACGCCAACTCGACCCAAAAATGCGTACTGTCGCCTAAACGGGACTAAATGGCCAGTGTCCACCTACGAGAGAGACATAAATTTATTTAACAGAAAAACTTTCATTTATTTAATTTGCCGTAAACGATAAATGTAATTGGTATATATTATTTATTTTATTAGGAAGCGTTATTTTGGAGGAGGCTTGCAAAGGCCTCCCATGTTTCCTCTTCGAAAATTTTGAGGCGCATAGGCCGCCGTGATCGTGTCGACAAGTCGATTATGAAATTGATGAAATTTCTCAAACAATTACAACAGAACGACACACTTGATGTCCTAATAGCACTGAGAGGTCCATAGAAAAGTAAATTCGGTATCTGATTACCATATGAATGAACAGTTAAAAGTATGATAAAGATTGTGATCCAAGATGAAACAGTGTCAAACTGTGACCCAACTCATACTTGCAGATATAGACAACAATGCCAATTGAAATTTGATAAACAAAGAGAAAAGAAACGAAAAAATTTACTTTCAGAATTCAGTTTTGATACGAAAATTAACAAGCGAATAATGATAAGAGAAAAGCAAGGAAGTTTGCTCCAGGAGTAGGAAGGGTAACGTAGTACCAGATCTCCATCATCATTCTGATGTGATCCGTCTCGTAGGGTTTCCCAAGTTATAATCAATGGATTGGTTAACTTTGCGCCCACCTCAGTCCTCCACCATGGAAGTAATATCATCATATGTTGGGAAAAAAATATTTGCTTGAGAATCTTACAATTGACGACAATGGATTGCCTGCAATTTGTAATTTTTAAGGCCATTAGTGGTGTCATTGGCGAAGCAATATATTTCAGATAATTTTGTAATTAAGCTTAAGTTGTCCTTTCTCTATTCCATGGTGTTTAGATGCAAAGACGTCCTGTTTCACTGCACCTCTGAACGACCTCTGAACGGTATTTTTTTCTATATTATATTGGAACAAATTGAGATATGTTGGCTTGTCCCATTCTTCATCGCTTTCTCTCTTTGATTGCCTGTCTGTCTGTTATTGTTTGAATCGTTAAATCCACATCTTTAAGATAATTTAAAATACGCCTACAGTTGACGTCATCAGTTCATTCATTAATTCATCTATTTTAGGTCATGTTTCGCAAACATTCACCACGAGACGAATATACTTTTACTTCTTGTTTCCTCTGTATTTTATTTACGTTATTCTCCCAGTTAATAAATGTCTAATAAGTTATCTTCCAGAACAGAAACTACGATGCTTTACTGAAACTTAGAAAAACACAAGATGAATAACAAAAAAAAAAAAAACAGAATAAAAAACACGACTCTGTGACATTTAAGTTGAACAAATCTCGTTTGCTTTCTATTTCCCTGGGGAAGGTGGAAATTTATTTCGTAAGATGAACAAATTTTAACCAGATAATTTATATACCGTGGATTAAAGATATCTGATTTTTGTTGTGAAGTTTGTAGTAG